CTCCCAGTACGTTGCTTCGTGGCCCCATATGGCGCCCCATTGAAGGCCCCAGCGGTTGTGACCACATGGGCCCGCGCCACCCAGTACGGCGTTTCGTGTTCCACTGGAGGCCCCAGTGGCTGTGACCACATGCGTCCACGCACGGAAATACAGCGCTTCGTGGCCCCATAGGGGACACCACTGAAGGCCACAGTGGCTGTGACCACATGCGTCCGCGCACGAGAATGCAGCGCTTCGTGGCCGCGCAGGGAGCTCCACCGATGGCCCCAGTGGTTATGACCACATGCGTCCGCGCACGAATATACAGGGCTTCGTGGCCTCATAGGGCGCCCCACTGAAGGCGCCAGTGGCTGTGACCACATGCGTCCGCGCACGAGAACAAATACAGTGCTTGGTGGCCCCATAGGGAGCTCCGCCGAAGGCTTCAGTCGTTGTGACCACGCTTCGTGGCTTCAGAAGGCGCCCCACTGAAGGCCCCAGTGTCTGTGACCACATGCGTCCGCGCACGAGAATACAGTGCATCGTGGCCTCATAGGGAGCTACACTAAAGGCCCCGGTGGTTGTGACCACATGCATCCGGGCACGAATACACGGCGCTTCGTGGCCCCATAGGGAGCTCCACCCAAGACCCCAGTGGCTGCGACTACATGCGTCTGCGCACGAATCTACAGACCTGCGTGGCTCCACAGGGAACTCCGCCGAAAGCCCCACTGGCCGTGACCACATGCGCTGCGAACGAGAATGCAGCGTTTAGTGGCATTCTAAGGACTCCACCGAAGGCCCCAGTGGCTGTGACCACATGGGCCCGTGCTGCCTAATACGGCTTTTCGTGCCCGCGCACGACAATACAGCGCTCCGTGGCCCCATAGGGAGCTCCACCGATGGCCCTAGCGTCAGTGACCACATGCGCCCGCGCCATCTAGTACAGCGTTTCATCGTGGCTCCACAGGGAGCTCCACCGAATGCTCCAGTGGCTGTGACCACTTGCGTCCGCGCCCCCAGGCGCTCCCACGTGCTTCCGAGCCCCCCCAAGCACACCCAAACGCCCCCCCGCTCTCCGGCGCTCCCAGGCGGTCTCCAGGGGTCCTTCGCGCTCCCAAGCGCTCCCAGGCGCTCCAGTCGATTTTCCGATGCGCTTCCCTAGCGCTCCCAGGCGCTCCCGGCGCTCCGAGGGGCTCCCAAGCGTTCCCAGGCGCTCCCTGGCGCTCCCATGCGCTTCACCGGCGTTGCCAGGCGTTCCTGGCGGTCCCAGGCGCTGCTGAGCGCCCCCAGGCGCGCCCAGGCGCCACCAGGAGCTCCTAGGCGCCCCCAGGCGCTCGCCGGCATTCACAGGCGGTCCCCAGGGGCTCCCACGCACTCCCAAGCGCCTCCAAGCGTTCCCAGGCGCTTCTCCCATGCGCTTCCCCGGCGTTCCCAGGCGCACCTGGCGCTCCCAGCGGCTCCCAAGCGCTCCCATGCGTTCCCTGGCGCTCCCAAGCTCTCCCAGGCGCTCCGAAGCTAAGCGCCTCCAAGCGTTCCCAGTCACTCAGGCGCTCCCAGGTGTTCCTGGAGGTCCCCAAGCACACCCAAACGCCCCCCCGCTCGCCGGCGCTCCCATGTGCTCCCAGGCGCTCCCAGGCGCTCCCAGGCGGTCCCCAGGGGCTCCCACGCGCTCCTAAGCGCTCCCAGGCGCTCCAGTCGCTTCCCCCATGCGCTTCCCGAGCTCTCCCAGGCGCTCCCGGCGCTCCTTGGGGCTCCCAAGCGCTCCCAGGCGCCCCCTGGCGCTCCCAAGCGCTCCCAGGCGCTCCTAAGCCAAGCGCCTCCAAGCGTTCCCAGGCGCTCTCCTGGCGCTCGCCTCCGTGATCCGTCGGCGTTGTGGGGCTTTCACGTCTGGGGGGCGTCTCGCGAAGTTGGGTGCACACAGTGCAAGCCGCTCGCTCACCCGCACAAGTGCGAGAAAAGGTTTCGATGGGAAGAGGGACGGGGTCTCAGTCGAGCCGTTCTCAGTTTGCCAATGTTGAGGGGGTATTTGCCCTCCTCCCTCCTCCTCCTTCCTCCCTCCTCCCTCCTCCCTCCTCCCTCCTCCTCCCGTCTCCTTCGTCCTCCCTCGTGGCTCCTCCCTCCTCCTCCCTCATCGCCCCTCCTCCCTCCTCCCTCCTCCCTTCACCCTCCTCCCTTCTCCCTCATCCCTCATCTCCCCTCCTCCTTCCCTCCTCCTCCCTCATCTCCCCTCCTCCTCCCTCCTCCCCCCTCCTTCCTCCCTCCTTCCTCCCTGCTCATCCCTCCCCTCCCCCCTCCCTCCTCCCTCCTCCTCCCTCCTCCCTCCTCCTCCCTCCTCCCTCCTCACTCTTTACTCCTTCCTCGTCCCTCCTCCTCCTCCTCCTCCTCCTCCTCCTCCTCCGTAGCCATTTTGGCTCAAGGTCATGGCGCTCGGCGGCGTCCAAATGGATACCGCTGTGCCGCGGCCAGGAGTCGAGATTCCTTTGCAGCCACCCCCAGGGCGAGCTGCCGCCAAAGACTGGTCCTCCTGGACCCACAGGTTCGTGCCCGCGAGGGCTCTCCATCGCAATTCATGGCGGCCGAGGAGGAGCGCCGCAGGGCTGGGCGCGCTGGTGGCGGCCACCGTGGTCCTGGTGCTGCTGATGCCCGCAGGCGGACTGACAAAGGAAAGGAGCCCCCGCCTGAGGACATTCGCTCCGCCTCCCGCAGCACCAACGAGCGCGCCCCGGCGCGGAGGCGCGCACGGCGGGGCCACCCTCGCTCCGACGGCGAAGCCGACGCCTCGGGTTCCCCAGCCAGCGATCGTGCACGACATGCCCCCGATGGTCTCGACCGTGCTGCGCAAGAGGAGCTCGTCGCCGCCCTCGAGGCCGCGCCCACCTTCCCCACGCAGGAGCGGATGGACATGCAGGTGGAGCAGACCACCACGGGCAAGCCTCCAGTGGGACCCCATCATGCTCAAGCTGATCCGTGGCAACATCCTGGTGGAGATCCATGGCATGAACGCGCTGCTCCTGCTGACGGACACGCTGCGGCCCCCGCGGCTGGCACTCCCATCGGCGGGATGGCCACCCCTGTGGACGCGGGCAGCACGGACATGCAGGCCATGCTCCAGAGCTGCATTCGTCAAGCCACTGATGCGATCGCTGCCACCTCCATGGCGCAAGTCACGTCTTGCCAGACTCAGCTGGTGCGCATGTTCCAGACCCAGCAGGAGGCCGTCAACAGATCCCTCGCCGTGCAGACACGCGACATCGCCTCCATCGGTCGGCGAGCAGACGCTCTGGAGGCTGAGCAGGCTGCCATGCGCAAACAGATCGGTGACATCAACAAGGTGCTGGCCCTCGCGGAGAAGGAGCTCCCCCTCATGGACTTCCAAGAGCTGGAGGCGTGGAGCCGCCAGCCCAACCCGAGGGTCTTCTCGATCGGCGCTCCGCAGCTGGTTGGTCCCGCGCAGGCGCTGCAAGGCCTCGAAGAGTGGATTCGCGCTGCTGGCCTCACCAATGACATGGTCCGCCTCGATCCCGCTGTCCCATCCAAACGCTTCAACGTCCTTGTGCAGGGTGGTGACGGCGTCGCTCTACCCCGAGCCCAAGCCCTCGCTCGGCAGCTTCGAGACCCTGCTGGCAGGAACGGGTGGCGTGCTTTCTGCGCGCAGAGCGTCGGAGGAGGCACCGTCCCGCTGTACATCTCGCCCGACAAGTCGCCCCAGCAAGTGCGAATGGAGATCCAGTCGAGGAGGCTATCGACTTTGCTCGCAGAAGCTTATCCTGGCATCTCTTTCAGTGCGCAGCGTGCACGGGGCATCGTCACCTCCCAGGGCGTCAACGTTGCCAAGCTCGAGATGGGCGAATCCCGACACATCGACACGATCATCAGGTGGAACCCAGACATGGTGGCCAGGCTGCACATCGACAGGGAGTCCATCAACGCGCAGTTCAAGAAGGCCTTCTCCGTGGTGGACAATACCGAGTGGATTTAGCACGCCGCTGCGGGCCCCCTGGCGCCCTCCTGGAGCACGACATGGCTTTCATGGCCTTCACATGGTCGTGTGGAACGCTCGTGGCCTACTCCATTCGGATGCCAGGCTGCGCAGACGCAAGCAGGCGCTGCTCACATCGTACATGAAGGTCAATGCCATCATCGCGGTGCAAGAGGTCCACGGCTCCGAGGACGCGCTCAGGATCTTCCTCCAGGCGCAGCCGCAGAAGTACATGAGCTTCCTCTCCCCTGGCCCCTCCGCCGCCGTGGGGGGCGTTGCCTTTCTCGTCCCGCGCATCATCGATGAATGTCCAAGGGCGGAAGGACCCAGAGCCGAATCTCTGGGATGCAGGGGTGCCGCGCCGCGGGAAGGCTCCCATGCGTGCGCCGCACCCCCTGCAGCATCCTTACCGACTCATGATACCTGGTCAAGTGCACGTACCTCCTCGTCTTCATCGGCTACAAGTCGCACCACCAATCGGTCAAGTTCACGAAGTCCTCCCACGACGCCCACGACGAAGCCAATTGACACACGGTCTAGCTCACGGAACGCCACTCCAGCCCTACCGTCTTGCAGCTTCGTCTCTGTGGCCGCTGGCCGTGCGGCGCTCCTCACGATCACCGACAGCACGGGCAAGTACAGCATGCAGATCTTCAACATTCACAACTACGACCTCAAGCCGCACGAGTTTTCCGCCATTCAGCGCACCTGGTCCAGTGGCCTTACCTGGGCGCGCCGCGACTCCCTGCACCGCGTCTTTCTGGCCGTCGGGGACTTCAACATTGCCTCTCGCCCGCCAGTTAGCCAACGCGCTCCCTCTGACGCTACGGCGTGGCGCTTACGACCTGACAATCGCTGCCAACTACGTCAACCTGCGTGGCGGCGCCTCTTCGCTGCCGCTTTGGAGATTGAATCACAATGGCCGACTCACTACGACAAGTCCTGCAAGCAGCTGTCCACGATCGACCGCATCTTCGTGGGGATTGACGCGCATGCCATGCTGTCGGTCTCTACAATCCTGACCACCGCGAGGGATGCGATGGAGCTCTCCGGGGCTGGCATCAGCGACCACGCGCCCCTCGTCTTGCAGATCACTGCTGCTCGACACGTCCCGAGAGACGAGCAGCCTATTCCGACACACCTCTTCAACCACAAGAAGTACCCCGAGACCTACGCGCCCATGCTGGCGCACTGTTCCTTGGAGGGGGAAACGGCGGAAGGGCGCTGGAGAGCAGCGAAGCAGTGCATGAAGCTAGCCGCTCGACGTGTGCGGGATGAACAGCTGAGAACCAACTTCTCCCTCCTCGTCAAGGACTCCACGGCCGAGACCTCGTACATGGGCTTCAAATCGGCGGCGAGAGCCGTCTGGCGACAGGACACCGTCCTGGCGGGCAGGCTTCTCGACTCCTGCCCCGCGTTGGCGACCCACCTCAAAGTCACCGACGGCACCGTGCGCATTGTGGACACCAACAGCTTTGCTTCCAACTTCGACGCAATTGCTGAGCGGGTGCACTCTATGAGAAGACAAGCGGCGGAGGCCGCAGCTCGGACAGCCAACGTGCGCGACAGCGCAGCCTGGCGGAGAGTTGAACGTAAGGCCGCCAGACACGCTCAGCTGTGGGTCCCCTGGCGGCGTCGCATGATCCTCTCTGGCCTGCGCGTGGACTCTACACCGTGTTCCGCCAAGGACTCGCAGGTGGCTCAGCATGTGGTCTCCGACCCCGCGGGCATGAAGACGATTGTGGCGAACTACTGGGGTGAGATCTTCGCGAAGTTGCCGAACGATGAGCAGCTCAAGACCATGGGCTCTTTCTTGGACAAGCACGCCCCGCGGTACCCGGTGGTGGAACTTCCCCAACCTGCCCTCCACAACCTCGAACGAGCGGTCAGCAGAGCACCTCCTAGCGCTGCGGGACCTGACCAACTCACGTACGCTGCATGGCGACGCAGCCCTGGTGCGCTGCAGCATCTCCACGGGCTCATGGAGACCATCTTCAACGACGGAGTCGCACCTCTCGACCTCAACTGGTCGATCTTCATCTGCGTCCCCAAGGGCACGGAGGAGGACGACGTCCCTGATTCATGCACTCGCACGGCGTCCACCGTGCGCACTCTCTCCCTCAAGAACTGTGACGCCAAGCTGATTGCGGCATGCGCGGATCGAGGACTGCAGCCTATTGCTACATCATCTACCTCACCCGAGCAGAAGGGCTTCACTGCGGGGCGGCGCTTCGTCGACCACATCCCTTTCCTGGACGCAGAATGCCGCAGGGAAGGACTCCTTCCTGATGCTGCGGCCCGTCGCCCCATGTTCCTTTCGTTCGACTTCCGCCAGGCCTTCCCATCGCTCTTCAGGGAAGTCATCGAGAAGGTCCTCCCGCGCTACGGGGTTCCGCTGGGCTTTCGCAACGTGATCATGGCGCACATGAGCGCAAACAGTGGCTCCAGCGCGGAGCTGGAGCCACTGTTTGCGCTCATGTGCGGCATCATGCAAGGATGCCCGCTCTCTGGCACGGTATGGTGTCTGGCCATGGATGCTCCCATCCGCGCTCTGCTAGCAGCGATCGACGAGCACGGATCTCTCGCAGCCTGCGCGGACGACCTCGGGATGCTGATCAAGAACGCAGTCGCCCTCCCGAGCATCGACCGCACCTTCGTCTCCATCGAGTTCGCCTTCAATCTGCAGCTGGCGCTCCACAAGTGCGTGCTGGTCCCGCTGTGGGAGGAGATCACGGACAACACACTGCAAAACGTCAAGTCATTCCTTGCGGGGGCGGTCCCACGCTGGAGTGGCTTCCGCATCGACTCATCGGCCAAGTACCTCGGGACATACCTGGGCCCTGGCGTAACGGACTTTGGCATCTGGAAGGCTGCGGCGGGGAAGTGGTGGTCCCGCTGCTGGGAGCTGGCGCGCACGGGCATGGCCACCAGCCTTGCTGCCCGTGCATACAACATCAACGCGCTGCCGTGCCTCTCGTACCTGGCTCAGTTCTACTTCATCGTGCCCGCCATCTGGAAGGTCGAGTTCACCTCCCTTGCACCGCCTGCTGCGACTGCCACCGTCTTCCATGCGCAAGGCGGACATCCTCTCGATGAGCGCGTGGTGTGGCTCGCCGGCGCCGATTGGCCTCTTCCCGCACACGATCGCCGCGATGATGCGTTCAGCGGAGAACACGGTGAGGGGCTGGGAGGTGCACCTCCGCCACCTACATGAAGCTGCAGTGGAACACGTACCACTGGCCGACGTGATCAAGGGCAATTGGTCACCGCCGTGGTGGCGTACGAGAAGGGCGATCGTGCAGAACTACGCCATGGTCTCGGACTCCTTCGACATGCTCGACATCCCAAGGCCGACGCTGGACCCGCTCCCGATCCCGATCCCGCGCAGGTGCATCTTGAAGGCGAAGACGGCGATGCTCATGGAGGCGAAGATCGCGGCCGCTGCCACCCCTGCCAGGAAGCCCAAGCGCCAAGCCGCGGCCGCGGCAGCGCTTCGCGGCATGCTGTACCCTGAGGACCTCGTCGCCATCATCCACCGCCGGCTCCGCAGGTGGGGGGTCGACTGTCCGCTGGCCGTCCTGCGTGAGAGATGGCCTCCGCTGCGCTGCAAGCTGACGGAGGTCCGCCCAGCCTGGATGTGGTCGTGGCTGCGCACGGCGGTCAACGGCTGGACCACCTCGAGGCGCATGAGCGCCGTCATCGACGCTCGCCAGTGCATCTTCGGCTGCGACGGGGAGGACGCGCTGGAGCACTACGTGCGCTGCCCGACCCTGCGGGAGATGGCCGCGGGCGCTGGGGGTGCCGACGCCATCGGCAGTGGCTTGGAGCTCCTCGGGCTCGGCGACGAGACGTACCACACGCTGCGGTCCCACGTGGACTGCATCTTCACCATCGGCCTCATGTGCCAGTGCTACCACATCCAGAAGTACAGGATGGACGTGGGGCTGGCCGTGGGCGTCGACCAGCGGGCCTCCGTGAGGTTGGCCGCGCTCCATCGCATGCAGGCTTAGGCGTGGTTGAAGACCAACCGGCCCGCCGAGCTTCGTGCCCTCCTCCTCCTCCTCCTCCTCCCTCATCTTCCCTCCCCCTCCCTCCTCCCCCCTCGTCCCCATCTCCCCTCTGTCCTCCCCTCCTCCCTCCTCCCCTTCTCCCTCCTCCCTCCCTCTTCCCTCCCCCTGCCTCCTCATCCCTCCATCCCGCCCCTCCCCCCTCCCTCCCCATTCCCGAGGAGGCGCGCGGCCCCCGTGCGGAGGGGCTGCTCCCCGCCGGGTGTGCTGGGGGGGCTGCTCCCGGCCATGACCACCGCGGCGGCCGCGGGCGGCCGCCACCTGACCCGCACCGGCTCGTCGTCCTACCAGGTTCGCAAGGGAGTTCGCCATGGGGGGAGGAGGAGGAGGAGGAGGAGGAGGAGGAGGAGGAGGAGGAAGAAGAAGAAGAATAAGAAAAAAAAAGAAGCAGAAGCAGAACAAGACTCGGCCTTGCGCTGCATGTCTGATCTCTCATGCCTGCTGCTGCTGCTGCTGCTGCTGCTGCTGCTGCTGCTGCTGCTGTGCTTACTTCACGCAGCTCCACAACAGAACCTCTGACCGTCGGACTCCTGGGTTACCCAGAACGTTCGAGGACAGGGCCGAGCGCACCGTGCAGCCCTGCAGTCTGTGCGACTGCCAGACCGATCGCAACAAAAGTGAGGGGCCAAAAACTCCAGGAGACGGGAGGTCCCAGGCCGATTTTTTGGGGCACACGCGAGCACTCCCGAATCAGAGCCCACACACCCCAGCAGCGACAACGAAGAGGGAGCGACGGGGCGAGAGAGGCGACAAAGAGGAAGAGCAAGAATCAGGAGGGAAAGAAACACACAGACACAATTAATCGTCGAATCCCAGAAAGTATGGGAACATATGGGAGGTGGGGGGAAGACAAAAACCCAGAAAATATAGGAATATATGGGGAATCCTTTTATTTGTGTGTATTTATTTGTGTGTCCCAGGGCCCCTTCAAAGAACACGGGAGCGGGGAAGGACTTGAGAGGGGAAAAGCAGCAGGGCAGCGGAGGGGAGTGTGGGCTCGCAAGGCAAAGAAGGGCGGAGCCTTGGCGAAGCGCGGGGCGATCCCCGTCAAGCTCGGGAGGGGTGGACGGAGTCGAAGCCCGTGCCGATCAGATACGAAATTCTTCCAAACACCAGTGATTGTGGCATTCACCACCACCAAAGAGATCAAACACAAACTTCACATCAACACTGCTAGTAGCCTTCACCACGACCAGGATAATATTGCCACCGCGCCCGTGCCATCTCGGCGAGGGGAACGTCCTGAACAGATATGTAGTGCCCGTCAAGAGGTGTCGGCCTCGGGCGGATACGGAGGTGTCAAGGTGTTGGCTGATGTTTCCTTTTGTCGAATACGTTCTCTCAGCGCTTGCAGCCTTACTTGCCACGAGTCTTGCCTTTGCCCTGCTTGGAACGGTCGAGTAGCTTCTGCGTCGTCGTCTCCAAGTGGCCGATGGGAGCCGTACCCAACTTCAGACGACCCCCGATGTGGACCATGGCCTTGACCAACGCTTGCTCCAGTAGTAACTTCGAGATCTCCGTACCCTCGATCCTGTGTCCGTCCGAGATGCTGAACGGGACCCTCTGGAAGCTCTCGTTGTACCATTTCCGAACACGATCATGGCGAATAGCCACAAGCCCATATCCTCCATCGTCGCGCTGCATATGAACTTTGTGTAAAAAGTTGTGAGTACCTGAGACGGCTCTAGCAGGCTCTTGACCTTCTCGTCTTCGACCAGAGACTTGAATGCGGCTCGCGAGATGTACAAATGTGGTGGCCCCAACTTCGCCTTCAGCTCCTGCACCGCTGCGGCCTCGGCGTACTTCTTCCCTGCCGCACGGCAGTTGGAGATGAGAGGAAGGTCCGCGGTCACCGCGATCGAAAGCCATTCTGCGGCTGCTAGGCCGCGCAGTTATTGGGCATATTGGCATGCCATTTTCAATGACAAGTTCAGTGCCTGCTGGATGTCCTTGGCCTTCATGGCCCCTTCCACTTTTGCCAACTCGTCGTCGGCCTCGTCGGCCATCTGGCCGATCTTGCCTCGTTTTGGTGCGGGCGGAGCGTCCCCTCTGACTGCGGCGCGCCTCTGGCCTTCGCGCCCTGCAGCAGGGTGTCGAGGTCCATGTCCATGGCGCAGCCGCCGCCAAGCAAGGCGAGGAGCAGGATGAGAACAGTGTGATCGAATCTGGATCTGCAGAGAGGCGAGGTCTTGAGCCTCGAAGCTGCAGGCCGGGCACTCGAGCGTCGACGGGGGGATAATTTCGGCCGAGGTGTACGAGCTACGTCCCACGGCGCAGCAATTCTTCACGAAAGGTCGCATCACGTGCCTCTGTGAGCACCTGAAACACTGATTCGTGATAGTCAACAAACACGCCTCGTTCCTGACCGAGTGCGCCCTCCCCGCGTGCAGCAACAGTTGTTCCACGATATGAAACTTCTCCCCGCGCGGCACCCCCTCGTCGGACACCAGATTGCACCGAAAGCGGCCCTCCTCCTCCACCACCTCGTCCGAGAACACATCGATCGAAAGGGGGGCCTCGAACTCGGGAGGGGGGAACGCACGCGTGAACTCCTGGGCCCTGAGGATCGAGGAATCGATGTCGGTCCACTCCGAGAAACTCTGGTCGGAGAGGAGCTTGAGAACGGGGTACCCCTCGGGGAGCAACTCCTGGAATTCATCAGAATCGCTTAGCCCATGTTCGAGATCCTCCAGTACCTGCCGAGCCCAAGGGTTAGCGTGGTCCATCAGGGACCAGTTCTCGGTAAGCACCTTCTCGGAACCCAGGCACCCAAAGACACTGGCCTTGGCTTGCCGATGAGCCTCAGGAAACTTGCACCAGCTTTGATACCATTTTAAACGACGTACCCTGAGTTCCTTCGCACACGATAACATTCGCCAGTGTGAATAAACCTTTGCAGCTGACCAACGACGAAGCTCCTGGTCCCCGCGAGCCTCCAAGCCCGAGATACCCAATCCTCTCCTCATCGCCTGTTGCCAAGCCGGATCGGCAGCAGAACAGAAACTCTTATCAGGAATCCTCGCCTCCATACTTGAGACCAGAGCCGACTGGACAAACGCAATATGGCCACCCTCTTGACATTGAGGGTTGCGTCGCTCCGAAGAAACAGTGGGATCCTTCCCAGACCCAGCCGACCAGCCTGGATAAGTTTCAGCTTTTCAATCTGGAGGGACCCGTTTGCCGTCAGCCAGCCCCCGAGCACCCGCATGAACCTCCCCAGCTTGCCCTTGGTTTCGATGGCCCCGCTGAAAACCAGACGGCGCTGTCCCGCGGCACCAGGGCCCACCAGCTTCACCAGAGAGACTCGTTTTTTTTCAGGGTTCAGAGCGACGCCGATCTGGGCCAGGGCACGCTCAAGATTCAAGATGTCCGCTGCTGACACGAGCAAGTGCGAGCAGATGCCGAGCCTCGCCAGTCCACGGGGCAGGGCCAGGCCCAGGGACGACATGCTTCGTGATGTTATCCGCGAAAAGCGAGAGGCCCACGTCGGTGCTGGCCCTGCTGACTTCGGTGGCAGTAGTTAGCGCACACGTCGTGGTATGCTGCCGCACTGCAAAGAAAGTGCCCAGCCCTCGTTGGTAAAAATACGGGAAATCACGGGCTGCATTGGGATGTCCCATGAAGTCGCCCGTGGTCGGTCCAATGCAAATCAACTCGCCTGGCGTCGTGTTCTGGCAGGCGCTCTGGCCGATTCTCTGATGCTGAAATCGAACGTCCCCGGGGAGGAAAAGGGAGGCATGTCCAGCATCTGATTGCGATCCACACTCGAGAAGGCATTGGTCGCGTCCTCGTTGATGATCGCGTGAGGTCAACCCTGCTTGAGAAGCCTCCACGAGGTACAGCATTGAGTTAAACTAGCGTCTTCCCGGCGACGCCGTCTAACAAAGCCATGACACCCGTGAGGTAACGGTTCGCGGTGTCGTCGCGCCCTGACCCAGAGATGTGAGTGTCAGGCATTGCCGAACGGGCAGAACAGATGAATCCACCTTTGACCAGCTGGGCCAGTCTTGCCACTGTTGCGGTCCAGGCCGCAGCACGACGACACGTCGAAGATGAGGGGAGTCATAGATGTCCTCCGAAAGCAAGCCAAACTATCGACAAAACGCTCAAGAAAACCAGTGTCGGACGTGGGTCGTAAAACTGCACCAATCCCAGCGCCGCGAAACCAATCCCACCTTTCTTCGTCCAGCAAGAGAAGCCACAGCTCAGAGGGGAGTGACCATGAGGGTGTGGCCCTCCTCTTAGGTGCTCGTCGTAGTTGACGAATGATCCCCATCAAGTCGGTGCGCGCGTCCTCCAGGTTCTCGATCTGCATTGCGTTGTAGCGCACCTCCTCCGAAACTTCCCAGCCGTCAATCTGTGTTCTCTCGAAGCGCTCAGTCATCTCCTGCTGCGAGTCACAAATAGCGGCACCTAATCCGCCCTCTGTCGCAGGTCGACACAGGAATGCAGAGATGTCACGTGCTTCACATTGTTCAGTCTTCATTGCAAAGTACTTTCTGTGCCGAGGTCCTGCCCCACGTTTCGCTAAACGACGGATGAGGCGCTGGACATGGTAGTGATCATGTGACTGCCAAGCTTCATTTATTTCCACCGTGAGAGAGGCCTCGCGCTCTTCGTTCATACGTTTCGACAAAGATCTGATGCGATAGGTAGTTCGAGGAAGTAGCAGTTCCACCTCCAACCTGTTTGCCTGCTCAGGCACCGAGCCGACATGCAGCCCGCGAAGTCATTTGCGTGAAAGAAGTAGTGCCGATCTTTCCTTATCCAGTTGAGAAATCTCCTGCTCCTGCTCGGTCTTCTGCCCGACGTGCTCAGAGGCCTTTGCCGTCTTCAGGGTTCACGGAATTCCAGACCTCGTTTGGCGTGGCGCGATAGCATAAATTTATCCAATCAGACTCCGGTACATCATTCACAGCGGTTTGAATGGCCTCAAGAGCGGCTGTACATGTAGTCCTGGACGTCAGAGCACGCATTATCTAATCAAAATCTCAGGGCGGTGGCCGAACTTCACATTGTGCCTGAAAGTCATGCTTCACCTCCAGCAGTAGAGGCCGATGATTTCTATCGTCCAGTGTACCGGCAGGCTGAAGGCGTCGACCTGCCCCGTGCAGAATTTTGCACTCCAAACTATGCTGTCTGAGCTGCTTTGGAATAGCCATGAAGTCGATGCGCGACGAAGGTCCACCCGCGCCGAAGAAAGTAGAACCAAGAGGGGCAAACGTCGACGGTACGCATAGCTGCGTGTCGTTTAGCATCTGCCTCAATGCCGTGCCCGCGACGCCCTCTAAGTCCGCGTCGCAGTCTCCGACGCAAGGGAAGTCTATGTCCTCGTCGTCCTCGGCGGGGCTCGTCTCTCCCTCGAACGAAAACTCCCTAGCCCTTGCCAACCCGCCGTTAAGGTCGAGCCCCACGATCGGCGTGCAGCGGAGGCCAGTCGAGTGAAAAAGCTGTCGAATCCAGCTCGTAAGACGCGAAACGATACGACGATGCACCGCCCTGCCCTGGCGCTGACTCGAGTGAACGGGGTAACAGACGAGCAAGAGGTCAAGAGATCCTTATTTTGAACGAATGGCGCCGCAGCGCCCTTCCAACTTCGTTGGCGGAGCAATGATCTTTCGTATGATGCGTCTGGGGAAAAATATTGTGCAGCATGATACTCGTCCCAAATGCTCGATTCGATGATCTCGGACACCCAAACGTAACTTCATAGTGATTCGAATGCTGATGCAGACGGTGGGGCTCTCCATCCAGTTTGCGTCGTCCTGCTCCCTGGATCAGGATACACCCCACGTTCCCAAGCTTCGACGAAATTTCCTCCCCGCGGACTCCAGACAGGTGCATAGCATTTCATTGCACGAGACTGCCCTCACGTAGCCCAATGATGCCGTGCCCCTCGGTGTCGACGT